GCAGCAGCAGCAGCAACAGCAGCAACAGCAACACACAGACATGAGAAAAAGGCAGACCCAGACGTGCAGCACGCAGCACGCAACCGACAGCAGCACCAGCAACACCAGCAGCAGCAGCAGTAGCAGCACCAGCAACAGCAGCAAAAGCAGCAACAGCAACACCAGTCGCGCCAGCAACACCAGCACCAGCACCAGCATCCTCGTGAGCAGCAGCAGCGGCAGCAGCAGCAGTAGCGTCAACAGCATCAGCATCAGCAGCATTCCCACTAGCATCAGCAGCAACAGCAGCAGCAGCAGCAGCATCACCAGCATTCACACTAGCATCAGCAGCAACAGCAGCAGCAGCAGCAGCAGCAGCAGCAGCAGCATACCTCGATGCATCTTTCTGCGCATGTATTGATAAAGCAAGAACGTCTGCATGTGGTTGCAGCGCATGCAGTGGCAGCCCCGAAGCAAGCAGCACAGCCCCTGGTGAGTTGCTGCTGCATCTGCTGCTGCACCTGCTGCAGCAGACAAGCTGTGGTTCTCTCTCTATCACCAAAGGACCTTCTCCCGCATTCATCCAGCAGCCGAAAGAAATATGTAGAAGGATGCAGGCCGCGGCGAACAGCAGCAGCAGCAGCAGCAGCAGAAGCAGCAGCAGCGGGAACAGGAACTGCAACAGAAGGGACAGGAAGCGCAGGCAGAGGCAGTGCTGCAATGCTGCTGATGCTGCTGCTGCTGCTGCTGATGGGTTCAGTGGCAGCGGATGCTGCAGCAGCTGCTACTGCTGCTGCTGCTGCTGCTGCTGCTGCTGCNTGCTGCTGCTGCTGCTGCTGCTGCTGCCATCTCCTCGGATGCTGCCTGTGTCTTTGCTGCTGTCAGTTTTGCTGCTGCTGCTGCCGCTCTTGCTGCTGCTGCTGCTGCTGTCCTTCTTGCTGCTGCTATCTTTTTTGCTGCTGCTGTCTTTCTTGCTGCTGCTGCTCTTCTTGCTGCTGCTCTTGCTGCTGCTGCTAGCAGCCAGCGCCTCCTCCTGTTTCACAGCAGCAAGTGCAGCAGATGCTGCGCTTGTTGCTGCAGTTACAGCTTCATGAGCTCTGCCAGCAGCAGCTGCTGCTTCTGCTGCTAGGTGCTGGATCGTTAAGAACGCGCTTGCTGTGCCTTGACCCATATTCTTTTGCTGCTGCTGCTGCTTCTGCTGCTGCTGCTGCTGCTGCTGCTGCGGTGGCGGCTGCAGCATAGAAGGGGGTGCGGGGGGAGGAACGTAAGGGATCCAAATAATCTTCATGTCTTCATCGGTGCAGCCACCTGCTGCTGCTGCTGCTGCTGCTGCTGCTGCTGTAGCTGTGCTGCAGCGCAGCAGCACGAAGGCAGCAAGTAGCTGCAGCAGCTGCCGTCGCAGCTGCCGAGGATAGCGCTGCTGCTGCGCCATTTCAGGCTGTTTGCTGCTGTGTGAAGAAACGTATATCTGCTGCAACTGACACGCAGCTCTGCTGCTGCTGCTGCTGCTGCTGCTGCTGCTGCTGCTGGTCTTCTCTTCCCTCTTATTCGAGCAGAGGAAGGAGTTGGTGTGCCTGAGGCTGCTGTTACTGCTGCTGCTGTTGCTGCTGCTGCTGCTGCTGCTGCTGCAGCATGCAAGGAGGCTCGTCAGTGACCTCGAGAGAGAACGGCAGCACAGCAGCAGCAGTTTGCTGCTGCTGCATTACCTGCTTCTGCTGCGGTTGCTGCTGGAGTTGCTGCTGCTGCTGCTGATGTTGCTGCAGCAAGCATTCATAAAGCTGCTGAGAGA